TTTTTGTCTTTTTGAGACAGGTTCTCACTATACAGTTCAGGCTAGCCTTGGGCTCACTTTGTAACCCAGGTTGGTCTTGAACTCACAGTGATCCTCCTGGCTTTTCTCCCAAGTGCTGGGCTTACAGTTGTGGGCCACGACATCTGGCTTAGGCCTCAACTCTTGAAGAGTCTACAACCTCCCTGAAACCCAGCTTTAACTCCAGAACTTTTGGAGACAGCTAAGAGACTATACCAGCAGTTATTCAGTGGTAAACTGCCAGCTACAACGTGTCCAACAAGTATTTTTAGGTAATTTTGCACATGGCCCTTCAGTTCTGTGTTTATTATAATTTAATTTTGAATTAAATATAACTATAATGTTTAAATATAAAGTTAATATTAAATTTTAATTTTAATAAAAATATATATGACTTTCTATTTAAAGGTAAGCAAGGCAGAAGGGATTCTTCTCCTAGTAAAGACAGCCCTGAAAAATGGAGAAACAGCAGAACAGCTGCAAAAGATGATGACTGAGTTCTACAGATTAATACCTCACAAACATGTAGCAACCAAAGATATTAACCTGAGACTATTATCGAAGAAAGAAGATCTATGCCAGGTAAATCTCTATAATAAGGAATTCCATTTGAAATGGGGGAGGCACATTTTTAAAACTATAATGAATAAGGATGATACTGAATCATAATGCTTATTTCCACAGTTGTGTTCAAAAACAGTGCTGTGGGTCCTTCCAGAGGGTATCTAAACCATATTGCCAAACATAAATGCTTTTGAATAGTGACACAAATGCAGAAATAGTTTTTTAAATACTGTGTGATAAAAATAATTTTCCAGGTCCTGTGATGAATAAAGATTTTTTTCTGCAGAAGAAATAATGAACATTTAGAGGGGATTGTTTTGTTTTTGTTTTTGTAGTATAAACTCACATGTGCTAGACAGTTGATCTATCCCTGAGCTACAGTCCCTATAATAAGATTTTTAACAAGTGGGAACACATTTTAAAATAATAAAAATATCTATCTACAGTAAATATGTAAACCAGTACCACAGTTGCTTATTATCAAGTATCGTGTACTATTCATAATTGTGTTTCTGTTATTTTATGGAACACACATGAATGGTACAAATTTGTGCACTTTGCTGTGCTATTTCCATGTATACATACGGTGCATTGAGCCTCTGCCTAGGCCTCCCAAGCCCCAGCTCTCTTCAGAGGCCCTAAAAACTCCCTCTTAATTTCTTCCTGTGCTCCCTTCACTTTACCTTTCCCCATCTCTAATCATTTAGTTGGAATGGCTAGCATCAAAAAGACAAGAAATAAATGCTGAGTACAAATGGAAACTCATCCATACTTGGTAGAAATGTGATGACTATAGCTGTTATGGAAAGTAGTATAGGGGGCCAGGGAGATGGCTCAGTGGAATATATGCTTCACTGGCAAGCATAAGAGCCTGAGTTTAATCCCCGGTTCCGCAAAAGAAAAAAAAAAAGAAAGTAGTATGGAAATTTCTTTAAAAATGATAACTAGAGGGTCCGGGAAAATAGCTCAGTGTTTTAAAGCACCTGCTTAGGCACACTTAGGCAGATGCAGGAGACTGTGGTTCAATCCTCGGCACCACATGCAGCACCAGCCCCACCCTCAGGATGAGCTGAGGTGGCCAAAAAAAGAAAAATAGAGCCAGGTATGGTGTTATACACTTCTGCTTCAGGTGCATGGGAGGCTGAGGCAGGAAGATGGCACTTTTGAGAATAGCACCTTGGACAATCCAGAGACTAAAATAGAGCACCTGGTTAGGAGAATAGGTCTTGGGACCAACCTTCAGCAACACATAAAAGAAAAGGAAAATACAACTAACACATGACTTAATAATTCCACAACTGTGTATATGTCCAGAGGAATTGAAATCTTTATAGCAAAGATACTTTCACCTCCATGTTTATTGCAGCACTCTGCCTAATAGCCAGAATGTGTTATTTTTTCATATACCTAGCCATGCACTGGGCACTTTTATACCAGCATCCCCATGTATATCTAATATTTTTTAAAGAAAGTATAGATTAGAATAAAAACAGAAAAGTTTACAAGGGATGTAGAATTTCACTTAACAAAGTAATATGAATTTCATAGTATTTGTTGTGATTCACGGTGTTGCCTTCCAACCAGTTACATATATTGCCAGATATATGTATATAGAATTGGAGGATGAAAGAAAAAAGAAATATATAAGAAATTTAGAAGAGAAAAAGTGCAAACAATTGAAAAAAGGAGATGAAACAAATTAAAGCAATAACTGCTTCTTTTCACAGACCCACAGAAATGCATAGTTGTCCAAACCATGCTGTTTACATACATAGCTAAATCTCTTTCCTCCACTCTCTCTTGTCCTTCTCAACTCAGTAATTCATTTTGAATAAATTCATTCCTTTTCCTCGTATTTATTTACCTTTTAGATTCTATTTTTTCTCTTTCAGGTTCTCACACTAAGGAGACAATACAGTGTTTGCACATGCGGGTCTGATTTATTTCACTTAAGAGTATATTCTCTAGTTGCATCCACTTATTGGCAAAAGACTCCCAATTTATCCTGTTTTATAGCTGCATAATACTCCATTGTGTAAAAATACCACATCGTCTTTATCCATTCTTTAGTTGATGAGCATCTGGGTTGTTTCCAGGATTTAGCTATAACAAATTGCCCTGCTATAAACATAGGTGTGTATATACCACTATGGTATGAGGTTTTCATTTCTTCTTGAAAAATTCCCAGAAGGTGAATAGCTGGCTTGAATGAGATTTCTAATCCTAGGTTTTTAAGGAATCTCTGCACACATTTCCATAGGGGTTGTACCAGTCTGTACTCTCACCAACACTGCAGAAGGGTTCCTTTTACTCCACAGCCTCTCCAACATTTGTTGTTGGTTGATTTCTTTATGATAGCCATTCTTTCTGGGGTGAAGTGGTATCTCAGTGTTGTTTTAATTTCCATTTCATGGATGGCTAGTAATGTAGAGCATTTTTTCATGCAGTTTTTAGCTTCTAGAATTTTGTCCTCTGAGAAGTATGTGTTCATCTCAGGTGCCCATTTCTGGATTGGGTCTTTAAATTTTGGGGCCCTAATGTTTTTTAGTTCTTTAAAAATTCTAGAGAGAAGACTTTCGTCTGAGTGCTTATTAAGATTTTTTTTCCAAATTTTTTCACTAGGTTGGTAATTTCTTTTGATGTGCAAAAAGGTCTCAATAAGAGGAGGTCCCAGTTGCTAATTCTTTCAACTGTTACCCATGCAATTTGAGTTTTGTTCATGAACTCTTTACCTACCCATATGTCTTCAAGAGTTCTTCCTACTTTCTCTTCCAGGAGATTTAGTGTTTCTGTTTTAATGTTTAGATCTTTAATCCATTTTGACTTTAGCTTAGTGCATGGTGATAGCCCTGGATCAAGTGTTAGTTTTCAGCATGTAGAGAGCCAGTTTTTCCAGCACCATTTATTGAAGAGGCTGTCTTTCTTCAGTAAGCACGTTTGGCCGCTTTGTCAAAGATAAGGTGGCTGAGTGTGTTCAGAGAGGCTTCTGAATCTTCTAATCTACTCCATTGATCCTCAGGTCTATTTTGTTGTCAGTATCAGGCTGATTTTAAGAGATTGTTTCTGATCTGATTTCCTCTATACCTTTCTGCAGTAGCTTCTTTATTTCAGGCACTATTAATTCAGAGTTTAAGCTATGTGATTCCCAACTTCTTCTATACTTGAGTCTCCTGCATTTGTTTGGCATGGGCTTGGGGACTGAGATTGCATTTTGTTCCTTTTTATCATTTTGTATAGCACTGCATTCTGGCCTTTGGTGTAGTGCTTTGGTGCATATAATCTTAGCACCTATTGACATTCTTACCCGAGAGAGATTATATGGTTAAGACAGGTACAGTTTTGTATTTACAGATCTACAATAAGGAACACTAATAATGGGTAGTGATATTTAGCAGTTGACAAACTTTTGTTAAGTAATGGGTTTGTATTTTAGACCATAAGAACAAGCATTATGTCTGTATAGCTAAGCAGATATTAAATTGGGAATTTGTATTTAAGTTAGTTACCCTAAGTTCTGTCTGATCACCTCCCCTTGATGTACCTGGCATCTTTCAGGCAGAGTATTTCACCCCGGTTACCTTTTGCCCCCTCTCTCAGTCAAGATAGAAATAGGGAGGATGCTTCCATAGATCTGGGTGTAGCGAAGTGTCTCAGTTTACTGGGTCTGGTTTCATGAAGTTTGAACTCATCCCTACGTGCCTGGCTTGGGTCTGGTGCTGTGCTCAGCTTCTTCCTGCTTCATTCTGTGGAAGAGAACCTGCTGTGCCCCTCTGGCAAGATGTTCTCCTGGATTAGCTGGGTGGTTCTAGCCCCTAGCCTCTCTGCAGGGACTTTAGCTGGAGAGTTTCACACCAGGCCTGTATGTCAGGCCTGGGCTGGGTATGGAGGGGCCTGAGAGCATGGTGGAAGGTCTCATTCACAGGCTGGGCCTGGGCTGGTTCTGGAGGGGTCCGGCAGGTACAGTGGAGTGGAAGTTCTTCCATCCACCTGGGTCTTTGCTGGATCTGGAGGTGTCTGTCGGGCAGAGGGTCTCAGTCACATGCCAGGCCTCGACTGGGTTTGGTTGGGTCTGGTGGGCACAGCAGACTGGAAGTTCTCCCACACACATGCTGGGCCTCCAAACACTTGCATTGGAAGAAAAATAGCCTCTTTAATAAATAGTCCTGAAAAAAGTGATTTTCTGCATGCCGGAGATTAAACCTAGACTAATATCTCTCACCATAGACTAAACTAAAATTGAAATGAACACTTGATCTACTGGAAGATAAGATAGGTGAAACTCTTAAAGACATAGTTATAGGCAAAAACATTATGAAACAAAATCTTGATTGTACAGGAAATATTACAAAGAATCAACAAGTGAGATCTCAAGAAAAGCTATTACACAGCAAAAGAAGCCACCAACATAGTGAAGAGATAAATCACAGAATAAGAAACATTTTTTTTATCAGCTATTCCTCAGACAAATGACTAATATGCAGACTATATATAAATCTCATTCAGACCCCTGAAATTTAAAGACCCAATCCAAAACCTGGTATGTGAAATGAATAGATCTTTTTCAGATGAAAAAATACAAACAGCAAGTAAATATATAAAACATGCTCAGCATCACAGGTCATTTAAGAAACACAGATTGCATGCCACTCCAGAAAGAGTGGCTGTCATCTAGAAATCAACTTTTTGCTGGGTGTGGTGGTGCATGCCTGTAGTCCCAGCACCCTGGAAACTGAGTAATAAGGATCACTGTGACTTTGTGGCCAGCCTGGCCTACAAAGAGAATTCAAATGGGCCTGAACTAGATAGTGAAACTCTATCTCAAAAAGACAAAAAAAAAAAAAAAAAAAAAAAAAAAAAAAGAAAAGAAACCTTTTTTCTGGGTATTTTAGTCATGCTCTGTAATACTAGCAGTCAGGAGGAGGCAGGAGGATTGCCAAGAGTTCAAGGCCAGCCTAGACTACATGGTTAGTACCCTGTTGATGGAAGAAAGGAAGGAAGCAGGGGAAGGGAGGGAGGGAGGGAGGGAAGAAGGAAGGAAGGAAGGAAGGAAGGAAGGAAGGAAAAAAAAACAGGGAGGGAAAGGGAAGGAAGCAGAGGAAAAGGAAGGGGAAGGGAAGAAAGATAAATGAACCTTTAATTTTTTTTTCCTTGAGGGTCTTATTAAATTGCCTAAATTGGGCTCAAATAATCCCTCTGTCTCAGCTTCCAGTGTGCTGGGCTAGCAGCTGTGTCCCGCCATGCCCAGCTTATTTCCTCTGGAGCTGGGCTTTCACCATGTTCCTCAGGATGGCCTCCAGCATCTGGACTCTAAGCAATCCTCTTGTCTCAGCCTCGTGCGTAACTCTGGCCATAGACATGTGACATCTTGTCCAGATTTTGCTAACTTCAATACACAGCTGACAACAAATATTGATCAAAAGCTTTGGGAATGCTGGGTATGATGATATGAGTCCATAATCCTTACACACTGAGACTGCAGCGGCAGTATTATGAGAGCTGGGATCTAGCTCAGTGCAAAGCCCTTGACTCCAATTCCAAGTACTACAAAAATAAAAAATTATAAAAGCTTGAGGGACAAAAAAAAAAAAACCCTGATTATCCCTATCTTTGAGGAAGTGTCAATGTAATTAAATATTTATTTTGATATGTGGTGGGTCTAACATCTGTGTACCATCATTTCCACCTGCAGCTCATAAGGGACATGCTTAATGTCTGTGAAACTCATCTATCCAAACCCAACCCACCATCTCTAGCCAAATATCAGGCTTTACGTTGTAAAATTGAGCCTGTTGAACAGAATACTGAAGAATTTTTCAGAATTAGAAAAGAGTTACTACAGAATAACAGGTAAGCATAAAGGAAATATTTGAGATCAGTTATAATAAAAAAAAAGCTCCATGAGATTTTGTTAATGATCTGACCAGGATAGTTACCTAGAAAATTCAGTTCTCAGTATTGTAATGATACAGCTGTAGCATAAACAATGCATGTCTTTTTCTGTGTTTACAACAGGGCCTGGAGTGGTATTCTGTTCTTGCAAATATTCTACTTTTCCACTTCGATTTTTGTTTTCTGGGTTTTTTTGTTGGTTGGTTGGTTGATTGATTGGTTGGTTGTTTTTTTTTTTTTGACAGAACCAAGGATTGAACTCAGGCCCTTGTACTTGCCAGTGAAGCACTTATTCTACTGACCTATCTCCCTGGCCCATTTTCTGTTTTTTTTTAAGACAATATCTTGCTCTATAGTTCAGGCTGACAATGAACTTACTATGTAGCCAAGTTTGGCCTTAAACTGGAGGCAGTCTTTGCTTCAGCCTCCCAAGTGCAGGGCTGGGATTACAGGCGTATGCCACCATGCCCTCCTAATCTTAATAAGCATTAAATTTAATTTTTTTAAAAATAATAAAAGTAGAGAAATCTTTGCTCCAAATAAAAAAGTGAATTAAAAAAAGAAATTTACATTTTTAGTCACGGTGGGCCAAGCTCACAGGAAGAGTGCCTGCTTAGCATAGGAGAGGTCCTGGGCTCAACTTCAGCACTACCAAAAAAAAAAAAAAAAAAAATTGAGAGCCAGCCAAATACCTCAGTGGATTAAAGCATCTGCAAGCAGGCACAAGGGTCTGGGATTTGATCTCTGGGCCTGCCATGCTGGCTCCACCCCCAGGTCAATTGAGACTGGGCGTGGTGGTACCCCCCTGTAATCCCAGCTCTTGTGAGGGTGTAAAACAGGAGAATCATTACGAGTCCAGTCTGGTAGGGAGACCCTGAAACACCCTATATACACCCTTTCCCCCACCTACCCCCCCAAAAAAAAAAATTTGAGTCTGTTTTGACAGGCTTACAGTGGAAAATTCATTTAAACTAAGATTTACACATGCAACATTATGAATGCCAGCTTCTAAGATGGTCACTTGGTGGTGTTAAAAAGCTAGAAAGCCTGTCAAGTATGTCATATGTAAATCTTAGTTCTGTTTGTATAACTGTACACCGTGGTCTTTTGCTGATATACATTTTACAATAGCAATATATGTGTTGGACCCATTGCTCACAAAGCTTCTGGGTGTCAGAACTTGGGCCCAGAATGAAAGTTCAGAAACTCCTGATTGCTGTTCTAGAAGGAAGCATGCCTTTCTGCCAGCCCATTTGTCCCCACAGCACTCTCACTCTCAATACCTTTCTTGTGGGCATTTCTGCCATCTCACATTGCTATGTCATGGATCTCCTTTACCTTTCACACTTTTTAGAACCAACAGTAGTATGAGGTAGTCATCTATAGTAGGTTACAAGAATCAACTATCAAATGTAAACTTGGAATTTTTGAATTGTTAACTGGTTGTTAACCCATCAGTAGCTTGAATTGGCCATGGAGGGAGAATTTACACAATGGAAATCAACAAATCAGGATTGTAGGGTAGAAATCAGGTTGTAGTTAGTTTGAGAGCTGGTTTCCCAGCATCTGCTACAACACATGCAGGCACTCTTCCTTTATGAATTAACTCAGACTTGTTCAAAATTATATTCTTTTTCCTTTGGTCCGTCCATCCTTAAGGTCCATTTCTGATTCCTCTCACACCTACTAAGATGGCTGTAGTTTTTTAAATGGGAAATTGTAAGTGTCAGTGATTTGACTTTTAGGACTGGCCAGATAGCTCAGCAGATTAAAGCTTCTGCTTAGACAGATGCAGGGACTGGGGGTTCAATCTAGCCGGGGGGCACTGAGACAGTGATTGAGACTGGGTGTGGTGGTGCACCACTGTAATCCTAGCACTTGGGAGCTGAAGCCAAGAGGATTACTGCGAGTCCGATCTGTGTAGTGAGACCCTGTAGACCCTGTACTAACTACATTAAAAAAATAAAATAAAATGATTTGACTTTTGACTTGGGTGTCTGATATGATCAAGAGCCTAATAACAGTAAAGGTAGAATCAGGAGGCAAATGGGTGTTTTTTTTTTTTCTTGGGAAAGGAAAGGAAGAGCTGTGTGAAGCCATGGGGCCTTTCAGTGTGGTCTTTGGGTATTTCATCCCCCACCCACCCAAGCATTAAAATATTTCTGCAGTGCCCATGGGCTTCTCCTAGGGAAGAGATTCTGGTGCTCCAAAAAATGAGATTTGTTTCATTTCACTTCAAAAATGATGATTCCTTCATAGAAATTTTTCCTAGCTAACAGCATATGTCTGTAATAATTAATCTTGTATGTCAATTTGATGAGTTTAAGAGGCACCTAAGGGATTGTTAAGAAACACTTCTGGGAATGTTGGAGTGAGTTGTTGGGCGTGACCTTGGAAACTGTGTTTTGTTCCTGGTCGTTTCTGTCTGGTGTTCTTCTGTGCCCTGCCTCCTGGCTACCCTAAAGTGAGCAGCTCTGGTCCACTATGATGTTCCTGCCTTGGAACCATCTGACCATGAATTAAACATCTAAATCAGAGAGCCAAAAAAACCATTTCCTCCTTTAAGTTATGTATGGCCAGCATTTTGCACTGAAAACTAGAAAGCTGACCAAAGTGTCCTTTGTTAAAAGTTTAGAAAACATGTAAAACTATGAAGAAAGTTTAAAAGCACCCCAAATCTCACCACCTAGAGATAATATAACCACTATTAATATTTTATTTTATTTTTTTAAATTATTTATTTATTATTTGTGTGTGTGTGTGTGTGTGTGTGTGTGTGGCCAGCTCAGCCCACCAGGGGGCAGGGCTGGCTGGCATGTGGTGCTGGGGGATTGAACCGTGGTCCCTGTGCTTTGCCAAGCTTGTTCCAAGTAGGTGCTTTAGACTACTGAGCCATCTCACCAGCCTATAAAGTTAGATTACAGACATGACTTTATTATTATTATTTTTTTAATTATTTATTTTGCAGTACCAGGGATTGAACTCAGGACCTTGCGCTTGCCAGGCAAGCACTTATTCTACTGAGCTATCTCCCTGACCCACTATTAATATTTTAGTGTAGAACATAGCCCAGATTGAGTTATTCTCTCTTCCACCCAGCTCTTGGGGTGCTGGTAGGTCAGTTTTCTGAAATGAATGTGTGGTGCATGATTCCCTTGTGTAGTCAATAGCAAGGTAGCATTGGGATGCCTCAGCATGGGGCTGAGGGGTGTGCACAGCAGGCTGTCCTAGACTTTCCCTTCTTTAGCTCACAACACCAACCCCAGTCTCTTTCCATGGCTCCCCATCTTGGGCTCCCACCCAGAATAGCCCATCCCCATGTCATGTCCATTCTGCCTCCAGAACATTTTTTTACCTATTGGCTTCCTTTCATTCACTCTCCTGCTATCTTTGGGATAGACCACATTATCCTGTCTGCTCTGCTGCCTCCTCTTGCCTCACATTCTCTGCCACTCTTTCCATACCCTCCTCCCATTTTCTTGTTAACAACCAATTACATCTTAAAGTAACATTGTAGCTGGGCACGGTGGTGTAAACCTGCAATCCTGCCACTTGAGAAGCTAAGTCTGGAGGATTACTGCAAGTCTGAGACTAGACTGGACTACTTAAACTATTTCAAAGCAAAGCAGAACAAAACAAGAAAAAACAAAACAAAAATACACATTGTGTTATGCTGTCATACAATAAATGTCATTTCTAACGAATGACCATTTTTTCTCTCAATCTGGTTGGTTTCCTTAATACATAAATAAGATATTTGATAATTTTGTAATTTTATCTTATTAGAATGAAAATGCCATGAAGTCAATGACCATGTTCTTATTGCCAATGCCTAGAATATTTACTACAGATTACGTTGAATGAATGAACCCATTCAATCAGTTATCATGCATGTAAATATCTAAATGAACTTATATGTTCTCCATGTTATACAGTTGACAAAGTTTGACAT